GTTAGGTTTTTTTGGCCTTAGCCCAAAAGTTTGGTTTTTTTTTTTTTTTTTTTGCCAAGGATTTCTGAGTTTGCTGTTCCCTTGTTCCTCCTGATGAAACAGGAAGGAAATGGTCTGAAAATGCTGCCCAAGGATTTAGGAAAAGACATTTCCTGAGGTTCTGGATGATCAGGAAGATGATTCTAGTTCTCAAAGGTCTTTGCAAACTTTGTGGGATGTTTACTATGGAATATACTCAGAAGCCAGAGCCTAGACTTGGAGCTTTCCTAGTCCCCACCTTCCATAGATCCTGTTCGTTTTAAATAGCTTTGATTATTCCATGCCTCAGTTTCCTCTTCTGAATGAGACAGGTATCTGTTCTGAGACAGCCAGTGAGGATTGTGCAACAAGTCTGTACAAGTTGCAATAGGATGTGTGATTGCTTGGGTATCCTGGTTCATCCTCCTCACTAATCCAGCTTTCCTGCCATGCTATTTACTATGATTGGGGCTTCCCTGGGAGTCAAGGCTGGGCCTCTGATCTCTGGCTTTTACTAGTGCCACAAAAGTTCAGTCTAGAGCTCTTGGGAGCAGGGCAGCAGCCTCCGTATCAAACCACCCCACTCCCTTCCAGAGGCTATTAATTCTTTGCAGGAGTAGCAGAATGTGCACAAGATCCTTTTGCCTCTTCCCTCCCCTTTGAGCAACTTCCTGGCAAAAGTTCTTCCTCTTGCCCTGTGCATTTCCCTATTCAGGACTTTCTGTGAGAATCCTAGGATATTGATGGCTACTTCCTCCTCTAACCCCTTTTTCAATCTTTGACACAGCACTGGACCCACAATTCAGCTTGTAGACCCAGCACAGCAGGGAGAAATGTTGAGCAGGAGTTGGGGGGGCAGGATGGAGTTCACCCAGATGCTTTCTACTACCACTGCTGCTGATGCAATGAGTCCCCTGCTCTAGGCTGGGGACAATTTCCTGAGTCAGTGTTTCCCTTTTGGAAAGAGGGAATCCTCTGGAGCCCTGGAACAGTCCCGGTGAGAGAACTCTCTGCCTTAGCCCAGGACATGTTGCAGGGGTAAGGGTATCGCCATTGTAGCTATTCTGTAATTACCCTCAGAGATAGGCTTTGCTATATTGATTTCTAGGACTCCCTCTCTTGCTAGAAGTATTAATCCATTTAGATAATTATTGATCCAAGTTTACTTATCTTAACAAAGGCAAAGCAGTGGCATCTTGGCTGCAGAGTGTTTGGTTGGTCCTGTGATCTTGGTTGAGATCCTGAAGTCCTGGAGGTTCTAGAACTCAGCAGGTGGCCTGGTGGCAGTTTGCAGCTTTTGACCAAGTTGAGAAGTGAATAGTGAGCCATCAAGGATATGGGATATAAGTTCCCTGTTCTGAGACCACGAAGTTCCAGTGCCCTCAGTAGGATGCTTTCAGGCATTCTTCAGTGCCTGAGGTTGTAAATAAACTCCCTGCACCCGCATGCTCTGCAGACCCGGAATTCAAACCCCTTAGCACAGAAGCAGCAGGGCCTTGAGATGTTTGCTCATGACCTTTTCTCTCACCACACCCTGGGGCTGTTGGGAGGAGCCAAGAGCTGAGCTGCAATGCCAGGATGCTGTCTGTGTCAGTACCCACATTAAGCTGCCTCCTAGGTCCCGTCATATCCTTCTAGCACAACCACAAGGTGCACAGGATGGAAACTGCTCTCCCCATTTTGGAGACAGCGTGTGGGTCTACTAAATAGAGTTGTAACTGGAGACCAAAGCAGAAGGTTCTTTATCCAGCTTTCTGACCAGGCTGAAGGGGAAAGGAGAGCACTCATGTCCGGAAAACACAGAACGATGGAAAGAGAAGGGATAGGCCGAGCCCTCAGGCTTATTCGAAATCGCTTGCCTCAACTTCGAGCAGGTCAGGACTAGACTGTCTACTTCCTTTTTTAGGGTGATCTTCTTAAATGGGCTGTTTCCTCTTGGAGGTGCTCCTCCCTCTTTTTCTTTTACATGCAGACCTCCACATGGTCCCCCATGTGATCAGGCCAGGAGGATTCCCCTGTTGGTCTGCAGAGTCAGTCATGTCTGCTGGGAGGTCTTGGTGTGGTAATAGTCACAAGCTGTACCGACAGTTTAGTACAGGTTTACTCAGAGCTCAGGAAATACTGTCCCAGAACTGCTCTGGTAGGCAGACTGTACAGTATCTGGCATTGGGCTTCCAGGAGCCTCCACAGTACAATTCCTTGGCTTCTACATTAGTAGTTTCTTTCCTCCCTGTGGCTCCCCATGGTTTCAAGTTTCCCAGGTCAGGTGTGGAAATTGCCCACTTGGCTGTGGTCCTGCCCAGTGACTGGTGATGCTGGTCAGGTTCCAGGTATCTCATCGCTGGCAAGGCAGTATTGAGGTGTGGAACTTACCCAGATTCACACAGATGCCACAGAATGGATGGATGAGATACTGAAGGGACTCTTGCATCTCAATTTCAGGACCTTCACAGAACAATTCTGGGGAAGCTGTAACAGAACCAGAAAGGATCCAGGACCAGTCTCTACACAGTTTTACTGGGAGCCAGCACTTCTTTGAGTACCTCCTTGTTGTTTCTTTAAAGAAAAAGTATTCAGGAGATGGCTACGGGCCCACAATCACCTACCAGTTTCCCAAGGTAAGGACTGAGGGGTGGGGGACTGAGGATGGAGGCCGGAAGACAGAGGGTATTTGAAAAGTAGTGGTAGGGTTATACTCCCTGCCACCCTGCCAGGGCATGACATCTGAGCTTGGTGCTTGTTTCCTTCTTAGCCTAACCTGTTTTCTGTTATCGCCCACAGAATCTAGGTTTGACTGTTTTGTGAGGGAAGGACTGAATGTCTGTATCAGGGATGCCAGGCTTGTACTTAAAGGGCCTCCTAGTTCTTCCAAATGCCACCTCGGTTACCTTTCTCTTCAGAAAAGGTCAGCTTATTCCAGGATTCCTAAGAAGGCATACCCTTCCAGGTTGTGTGGGAGAGGGCCAAGCAGGCCAGGACAGCCCAAAGATCTGACTCCCCAAGCTTCAGAGTCTTTCTTGCCTCATCTTGTGCTGGGTGACGTGGTGGCTGCAGGGCTCTGTTCTTGTTAACCCCTCTGGTTGCAGGTGTAGTGACTGGGCAGGCTGCTTCTCTTCTCTGATGTGGTGTCTCTGATGTCACTCTCTCAGGGGACTGGGCTGGCTTGGGCCTTTCTGATCTTCTTTGAATATGTAAATCCTCACGATACTGACGTCCAACACAAGGTCAAGTTGATGTGGCCCAGAACAAATTGTTTCATCTTTGGGGTCATTCCAGCTAGACCTAGAATGCAGATTGTGTGGACTACCAACCGAAGGCACCGTTTGCACCTCATGCCAGTGGGAAAGCTTATCCTCAAATGGCTATAAAGCTTCAAAAGAGCCTGCCAGTCCTCTGACCTCTCCTTTTGCCCCTTTGTCTTTTCCTTGTAGCGGGAGAACCTGCTCCGGGGTCAGCAGGAGGAGGAGGAGAGACTTCTCAAAGCCATCCCTTTGTTCTGCTTTCCAGATGGGAATGAGTGGGCACCACACACTGAATATCCCAGGTAACCACTCAGCCTGGGGGTGGGGGTATCAGATTGGGAGGGTGAGGCATGTGTGTGGCTTCTGTGGCTTCTTCACCTGGTGTGTGATTTGAGTTCCTCCTGAGGAAACAACTTGCTTAGGGGTCCTTAAGGCCAAAGATCTGAGCTGTGACTTGACCTTTATCCAAAGACCACTGAGAACCTCACCTGCCCTAGGAGCAGTAGTCATTTCTGACTGCACTGGCAGAAGCCTGACCAAACAGAAAGTCTATGGCCTCTACAAAGGCAATATAGGAAAGGTCCGTACCTTGTGAACACTGGAAGTTGATTGTGTTACAATTTTGGTTGAGAAATACTCTCTCAGAGCCTCACTTCCTTCATCTTAAACTGGGAGAACTAATCAAACCTCCCTCGCCAATACGATACAGAGAATCAAATGAAGTGAGACAGTTAGGACTTGGCACTACTGAGCACTTAATAAGTTACTGGAGTGATTATGCTTATGATTAATCAGCAGTTCCCCTTTGCCCTCCTTTCCACTCCTCTGATGCCAACTTCATTCCTTGTTTTAGAGTCTAGTGAGCTTTAAATGCATACCATTTGTTGTTCTTTCTTAGGGAGACCTTCTCATTCGTCCTGACCAATGTGGATGGGAGCAGAAAGATTGGATACTGCAGGCGCCTCTTGGTCTGTGCTGCTCAGAATCCCCTCCCCACTTCTACAGCCTGTTCGTCTCCACAGCTGGACTTGCTCAGGCCTCAGCTGCAGAAACTCATGCTGTGTGCAATGGTGGTTGTAGGGAGAGTATAGCTTAGCTCCTGCAGCCATGTTAGTGCCCTTCTGGAATCACATAAGGACCTAAACATGCTGCTCCTCCTCTCCTACCCCGAGGACTATTGTCCCCAGGCTGTGGCTTATGGTCTCCACAGCTCAACAGCTCTATACACTGTAAGGGAATCCAACGGACTCCTTTCTCCTTATCTTCTCCAGCAAGGCCTGCTTGCCTTGGCCCCTGGAGCCTCCCATATGGAGTCTAGGATTTGAGGTCCTAGGTTCAATTCTTGGATCTCAGGAGGATTCTCTAAGGGGTCTTTACAGTGCTCACCTCTCTAGTCATCTCATGTCTAAGATACACTTGTGTTTGCTCACATTGACTTTCAGCTCATGTTGGCCACGAGGCTGAAATGTTTACCTTTGAGTTCCTGGCCTCTGAAAGCTGCCTCCCTCCTCCTCCTCCTCCTGCTCCTCCTCCCCCTCTTCCTCCTTTCCCTCCTACTCCTTCCCCCCTTCCTCCTCTTTTCCCTCTCCCTCCTTTTCCTCCTCCCCCTCTCTTCCTCAACCTCTCCCTCCTCCTCTTCTTCATCTCTGTTAATTGTATGAAATAGTAGGTTTTATTATGACATTTTCATGCACGTTTAGCATGAACTCTGATTATATTCACTCCCCCACTGCACTAGTCCCCTTCTTCTCAGCAAATAGTCACCTTTCTACTTACATGCCATTGTTTATGTCTTTTTTTCTTTTTTTGTAAAATTTAGATTCCACATATGAGAATGTGAATTTGTCATTCGATGCCTGGCTTCTTTTGTTTAACACAATGATTGCTAGTTCTAACCATTTCCTCCATGTCATAATTTCATCCATTTTTTTTTTTTTTTCTTTTTTTGAGCTGGCCTGGTACTCGATATGTAGACAAGGCTGGCCTTGAACTCACAGAGATCCGCCTGCCTCTGTCTCGTACTTACTAGGACTAAAGGCTTGCACCACCATGTCAGCACCATATCTCCTTCTTAATGGCTAATACTGCATTGTGTATATATACCACATTTTCTTTATCCATTGATCTGTTAAGGGATACCTAGGATAACTGCATAGTTTGGCTGCTATGAATAGTGAGACCATCTTCTTTTGATGTTGGTGACCATTTAGACCTTCCTGCTGTCCTTACCATGAATAGAACCTCTGTACAGTCAGCCCATCAACCCCCAGTCCCCAGCACTCTACCTTTTGCCCCATTAGCCCCAGGTGTGAGAAGCTTTTGAAGATACTGCAGCCCTGAAGGAAACTCTTGTCCCTCCCTAGCCCGCCGGCCCTGGCCCTCGTCTTCCCATAGTATACTGCATCATCAGCTGCATCGGCTGCTTTGGCTTGTTCTCCAAGGTAAGGGGAGGAGAAGATTCCTTAGGGCTTGTTAGGCAGGCCTGTTCAGCTTTCTGGCTCAGCCTGGCTGCCTGCCTTGCCTAGCAACTTGAGTCCTTAGTGGAGTGCTTTCGAGAAAGTACAGCCAGCATTGAGGATATGTGGGAAGACTGAGGCAGGGAAGGATTTGGACTCAACCTAATTTCAAGGCAATGTAGAAGACTATTCCCCTACAGAGAGTCATTGTTCCTACCAGTCAAGTAAAAAATCAGTTAAAGCTCAACAGGGGAAGAGCTTCAAGTTGTCTTCTAAGTTTGGGTTTTCTCATCTGTTAAATGGATCTAATGATCACTCACCTTCTTATCCTCCAAGTGAGTGTGAGGCTCAGATGAGCTGACCTAAGAAGCTCTTCATAAAAGGCAGAGCATCACGGAAGTCTGAAGGAAACTGTTCTGCAGTACTTGACCTCAAACTTGACCTGACTCCTTTGAGTCAAAGAGAAGTTGAGGTCTTGTGCTGCTGGGGCTAGAGTTAAGGCGAAAGTAGAGTCCCTGAGAATGGACATGGCCTGTCTTGTGTGGCCAGAGGACGCTGGGTGAAGGGGAGAAACACACCAGCTTTTTCTTGGATTGTGTTTATCTCTCTGTTTAAGTATGCTGAGGACTGGTGGCAGCCTCTGACCCTCAGAACACTCCAGTGAGAGTGATACCCAGAAAGTGAGGCTCCTAGGCTCCCACTCCAGGCAGTGCCTACACGGAGGATGACTTACTGGGGTTGTAGTTTTATGTTAGTGTTAGGAAAAGGAAGGCATATGAAAGTGAGAAGAAGGCTTGGACAAAGCAGGAAATAATAGATTATAAAGCAGAAGAGAGCCAGTTGGTGGAGGGACCTGGAAGATTCCTTGAGAATAATCAGGACCAGTGTGAGAGCCTTGGGGTACTCAGTAGCATCCTTCTAAGCCTTGCTTCCTGTGGCCCTTCCTCTGCAGATCCTGGATGAAGTAGAGAAGAGACATCAGATCTCTGTGGCTGTCATCTACCCATTCATGCAAGGCCTCCGAGAAGCAGCCTTCCCTGCGCCTGGAAAGACTGTGACCCTTAAGAGCTTCATCCCTGACTCAGGCACAGAGGTAAGTTAGCAAGTGGGTGATACTCATGGCTGGAGAGGGCAGGCTTCTGTGGCACCGCTCATCACTGTTCCTCCATTCACCAGGTTATAGTTAGGGAAACTGAGCTAAGCATTAGAAATATTGGCAGAGCTGAAAATCAACCCAAATTTGCTGAATTTTCTAACCTGATGTGCAACAGGACCTAATTACTCTTCAGCCCACTGGATTTTGTCTGTGATCAGTACATCATATAAGTTGAGGGTTTTGATGTTAAGTTTGTCCCTAGCTCCCAAATTTTCACTTGCTCTTACATCTTCCCTGTATTCTTTATGTGTCCTGTATCCCCACTTTATGGTCTCCTTCTGTCCTACTTGTTATCATCCATCCCCACCCCTTAGTCTCTGTCCATGTCTAATGAAATGCTTTTGCTCTAAGTCACTAAGTTCTAACAATAATTCTAAGTTACAAGAATTCCAGTCTAATTGCTGGAACTTTGGAGAGTCCCATGTGCACCTCAGACCTTGGCTTTCCCACAGGAGATGAGGAGTTGCTAGAAATTTCCAGTTACTGGCAAAATAAGTACTGAAGGCTTTATTCTGTGTTGAACTATGCATTTTCTGGGTGCACAGTGGTAACCAAAATGAAAATGGCCCCTGACCTCATGGGCTAAAGGTTTTGTGAGGAAGGGACACCAACTAAGTGAGCAAACACACCAGTGAGTTTACAGTGAAAGGCTGGGCAGTTGCAATGAAGGAAAAGCAGTGTGGCATGGGAAAAAGATGAGGAAGTCTTATGGTGATGGAAGTGGGCCTCTGAGACCTGAAAGAGGATTAGAATGACTAGAGGAGGGCAGTGCAGGGGAGACCCACCAGAGGCTTTTGACAGGAGGGATTTCTGCTCCAGGCTAGACCTTTTGGGCCAAGCTGAAGATTCCACCATGAGGTATTCAGAGCAGAAGGAAGCCACTAGTAGGATTTTAGCCTGGCAGATGAGCCAGGAGCAGATCTGTCCTGTGAGGAGCATGGGGTAGGCCTGGTCCAGCATTCCAAGGTCTGTGATTTTGCACTGAGGACCTTCCTGTCTGGTTTTCCTACAGTTCATCTCACTGACACGGCCCCTGGACTCCCACCTTGAACATGTGGATTTTAGCACCCTGTTGCGCTGTCTCCAATTTGAACAGATTATTCAGATCTTTGCCTCTGCAGTGCTGGAAAGAAAAATTATCTTCCTAGCAGAAGATCTCAGGTAAGTTCATCCACTGACTGACCACCCTGGCCTGCATCCCTGGGTTCATGGGAACACACAAGAGATTCTCAAAGGCAGTCAGACTATAGGATCCATGTAAACACCCTCCTGATTCCAGTTCCCAGATCTGTACTTTAGACCTAGAGAAACAGCTACTCTCACTCCCCTGCCTGTCTCCAAACTTCATTGCTGCCTGGTTTGAAGAGGGCTCCTACTAAATTCTGGGAAAGATATGGAGTGTTCCTGCTGAAACTCAGGCAGGGCCAGTCAGGGTTAATGTGGGCATGATTTTACCTTTTCAAGGCCAGGTTGGGATGAGGGTGGAGAACAGGACAGGAAGGCATATAATGATGTGGAGGGTAAGCTCATCTATCTATTTATTCACTAATTCAACAAGCATTTATTGCGTGTCAGCTGTTTGCCAAATGCCAAGCATTGGGAAGATAGCAAGAGGACTTGGTGTCTGCCCTTAAGGAGACACAAGATTATGTATTGGTTTTAAGCACAGAAATCAGCAGAATGAGTTTCAAATCCTGTTCTTCCACTTTAGCTATTAAGTTCCCCCTTAGACCTGCTTTTTAACTTCTTGAAATCAAGATTTCCTTATCTGTAGAATGGAAATGATTGGACTAGCCTCACCTGGTTGTGGTGATGATTAAAGGTGATGATGCACAGTGGTAGGTACCTAGCATCCTGCCAGGTGCAGACTGGTGAGGATGAGCTGTGAGTCTCAGTCAGCTCACAGCTGAGCATACCCCCATGTACAATGAAAACAGGGTGCGGTCATGCTTTCGTTCCTACCTGTGAGGGGCTTCAAGTCTTAAAAAGACATGGGGACACATGGCAGTCAGAGAAGAAAAAAGTTTGTCAAAAACAATAGATTGACCTTCTGTTCATATCTTGGAGAGTGAGAAATTATTATTTTTTGAGACAGGGTCTCACTATGTAGCTCTGGCTGGCCTGAACTCACAGAGATCTGCCTGCCTACATGAATGCTGTGATTAAAGGTGTGTACCATCATGCCCAGCAAGAAGCAATGATTTTGAGCTGAATCCTGGTCCTGATCTTTAAGGGAAGAAGAAAAAGAAGTTAGGGAAACAACAGAGGTCAAAGGGTCAGGCACATGTCATGGGTTTCAGAGGAAAGGAAGCATGGGTAGAGATTGGGGTCTGTGTATTCAGAATTTTAAGAACATCAGCAATGACCAAAAAATGAAGTAATCATAGGCTAATCCTTGTGTGTGTGTGTGTGTGTTTTGGGGGGGGGGGTGGCTCTTCCACTTCCAGGCCTGTATGGAAACAAGAAGTTTCTGTGGTGACTAGGGCTCAGGCTTGGCCTAGTCTTTCCCATCCAATTGGTGTTTGGGAAATGGAGGCTGGAGATCTACCTCCCAGGAGCAAACTTTCTCCAGGAAATATTACCACTCCCCACTTCCTTCCTACATAGTGTTTTCAGATCCTGGAGGCTGGGGCTGGGAGGGGACTTCCAGTCAGCCAAGCTTTAGCTAGGCACTCAGAGACAGACTTTCTGACTCAGGAAGTGCTAGCTTGATACCTAGTTTCCGCATCTGTGTTTTTATTGGCCTTGGATTTGGGGCAGTTTCGTTGGAGAAATGAAAAGCTATGAAAACCAGTGGAGAACTGAGAAGCTAGAGAGTTGGGCTGTGTGTGTGTGTGTGTGTGTGTGTGTGTGTGTATGCGTGTGTGTGTGTGTATGCGTGTGTGTGTGTGTGTGTGTGTGTGTGTGTGTGTGTGTGGCTGAGTTATGATTTGGACAGTAATGATATGAGAAGTGCTTTATTACAAAGTCTAGAAGAGCCACCTCTCTGTGGGACTTTCCATGGAGGAATCTCTGAATAGTGGTTCCTGGAACATAGGAATTTCCCAAGCTACCTCTGCACCAACCTGGTAGCTTTCAGTAACCTCAAGTGGCCACAGGAAGCCATGGGAGGTCAAAGCTGGAGATGAAGGTGGATAGACCCAAGAAGAAAAGGCTCTTCATCTTCACCAAGGCCTGGTGTTGACTGGCTTCCTTCTGTACTACACCAAGTTTCTTCAAAGCAGGGGCTATCTGTGTCCTTTGCACAATTTTGAGCTCGAGAGTAGAGGCACAGTCACTTTTGTTTAAATGAAGGAATCCTTTCCTTCTTTTCCTTTTCTGAACTTCTTTTATTTTTAGCCAGTAATGACTTGAGAGGAATAGCTAGGAATATAGATCAAAGAGGGCCCCACCCTGGAGAGTGGAGCCTTAACTCCTCTGGCTTCTGCCCTTCCCCTCCTAGCAACAAGTAGCTACAAGCTCTGTGACCATCATGGCTCCCACACTTGCCTTTTTGCCCAGCACAGGCCGCCCTGGCAGGAGCTGTTGTAGGTGCTGGGCTGTGAGGGGGTGTGAGGGTACAGGGGCATTGCTGACTCATTCTCTGTACTGTTCCAGCACACTGTCTCAGTGTATACATGCTGCAGCCGCCCTGCTCTACCCCTTCAGCTGGGCACACACCTACATCCCTGTTGTCCCTGAAAGCCTTCTGGCCACCGTCTGCTGCCCCACCCCTTTTATGGTTGGAGTCCAAATGCGCTTCCAGCAGGAGGTTATGGACAGCCCCATGGAAGAGGTATGCCGCAGTAAGGAGAGTGCATGGTGTAGAACCAGGCACACCTGGATTTGGATCCCCACTCTGTTACTAGCAGTTGTGGGATTTGGGAAAAGTTAATCTCTTTAAGCCTGAACTTCCTCACCAGTAAAATGGGGATAACGGTGTTTAGTTTGCTAGAGACTTGGGGAAATGATGTGTGTAAGGTCCTAGACTTATGTGGCACCTGACACATAGCTCATTTCATAAGTGTTGACTCTCTTACATGATTCCTCTGTGGGCTTAGGAGGCAAGATGCTGCTTATTCAAGGATCATGAGAATGTCTGGTAGTGACTAGTCCTATGGAGCAGTCTCTTGGGTGTCCTATTTTGCAGATGAATGACCACAGCTGCTCTGGACAATACACACCCCGCTGGAATCCATTCACATTCCTGAGGAGCAAGCTGTTTTGTAAACTATGGGTCTCAAAAATGCAGATATTTGCAGCAAGCACCATCTTTCTGACTAGCTTGGAGCTCAGTTAGATGAGGATATAGATTCAAATCCCTTTTGAATTTGTTGCTTATTTCTTGGTAATGACCCTGATACAGCAGAAGGTTCTGTTGTAAAAATGGACGCAATCACATGTCTATCCCTAAAGTTGGAAAAAGAACTCAAAACATGTGCTCTGACCCAAGGATAGCATGTTACTATATCGGAAACGGGACGACTGCTTGGGAATGTCAGCCCTGACTCACAGTGCAGAGACAGGATTACCTATTGAGGCATCTTGATGCAAGCTAGTAAAGAGGCCTGGAGCTACCCCTAGTGGGAGGATTTCCCCTTTTACACAAGAGATAAGTGAGGTCCAGAGAACCCAGTTGCTTAGATGAGGCCACAGTGAAACCCAGCACAGAAAAGCCCCAAAGTCCTTCAGTGGAAGGTGCTGCGGGGAAGGAGAAGCAAGCTGTTCCCTCTGCTCTAGTAGCTCTCTCCTTCCTTTGTACTGAGTGCACATGCCCTTTAAGCCACCCTTAGCCACATGACTAACTGGGGCAGAGTATTAGCCCCAGGTTTAGCAATAAAACTTAAAATGTCACAACCCCAGAAGTTATGAAACTTCCCTCCTCGGAAGCTAGAACTCTTCCCCTGACAGGCAGGCAGGAAGACAAATGAGGATCAGTGAGGCTCTGTCTCTTGCTCTCCAACAGCGTTGCCTTATTTCAGTCCTCTGCAGTTGCTCTGGGAAACAGCAGAAGCCCATATGGCCTCTGTGTGTGTGTGTGTGTGTGTGTGTGTGTGTGTGTGTGTGTTGGGTGTGTTAGGTTGTGTGTGTTGGAGGGTGGGGTTCTCTGACTTTCCACGTAAGCTCTTACTACATAGATAATAAGTCCAATATAGAAGAGACTTCTGGGAACCACCTCACAACCTAAAAAAAAAAAAACACCCAAAAACCAAACTTGACATGTACACTTCTCCAAGTGCCCCAAATGAACAGCTTTCCTTGCATGAAGGCATCTGAGCCTATGTATACAAGTAGTTTCAAGCCTGGACTAGTTCAGCTTTTCTTCCCTGATGATGGATAATTACAGTGCACACTGTTTTCTGCCAAACTTCCCAGGTTCTCTCTTTCCTTATATTTGGAAGGAGGGAATATGTAGGGATCCTTCACCCTAGTGTCAAGTCCCAGACAGGCCTCAAATGCCCAGGATTTAAGCAACTCTAGTACTCTGGTGACCCTGTCTAAAGAGTAGTTGAATGTTGGTATTTAAAAACAGTACAGATTAGGTGTGGTAACTCTTACCTATAATCTCAGCACACAGGAGGTGGAGGTAGGAAAGCCAGGAATTTGAGGCGAGCCTGGGCTACATAAGACCCTGTCTCAAAACCAAACCATGTTAGAGCTCATGAGTTTTCAGAAGCCAAAATCCTAATCTTATTTAAAATATTCTAATTTAAATATTGGAACTGGTCCAAGTATTTAAAAATACCAAGGAGTCAGCAGCAGCCTGCCTGTTTGTAGTTTGTGAGCTAGACTGCAAGATCCACAGGCCATGGTGGAACTGGTTGGGAACTCAGTCCTGTGCTTGTCTTACTTGCAACCTCTGCTTATGTAGTGTCCTTGCTTCCTTTCTTCTTCCTGTTGACCCTGGGCTCATGTTCTCTTGTGGAGTTTCCTGCAAGAAGGCCCAAGGCTATTGGAATTTTTTGTTTTACACTGGGTCTCCCAGTAGCCCCAGCTGGCCAGGAACTATATAGACCAGGCTGGTCTCAATCTCACAGAGATCTGCCTGCCTCTACCTCCTGAGAGAAATGCTGGTATTAAAGGCATGTACCATCAACCATCTGTTACCAGGGACTTTTTAATGAAGTGAACCCAGGGTCTGCAGCATGTTAAGCATGTGCTCTAATCACTTCCACTTCCAAGCAATCTGTGTGAGCTTTGAATAGAGCCCTGGGCAATTGTGCATAGAGTTGTTGCAAGCCTGGCAAGATCAAAACTCAACTGCCTCTGTCCTTGAACTGACTAGAGGACAGGATGCTCAAGGAGAGTTGGAGAGGGGAATGAAATTCCAAAGGCAGCCGTGGAAACTGGTTTGCTATTTCTCAGCACTGTGACCTCTAGGAACTTTAGGTTTATCTCATCTGCAAATTGAGTACTTATGTGAGTGCATGTTCATGATGTGTTGGGAAGCAATTACTATAATTCCCATGATCAGTAATTTTTTTTTTCTTTTTTTGAGACAGCATCTCTGTGTAGCTCAGTCTGGGCCTAGAATTCAAGGCAATCCTCCTGCCTGCCTCAGTTCAATTTTCCAGAGTTCTGGGGTTAAACATGTGCCTACCATGCTTGGTATGATTGGTGCTTTATTACTGAGTGACTACAGTTTCCCCCTGTGGTACTTTCCTTCTACTTTGGCCCTTTCTTCTGCTCCCTTTCTACACACACACCCCATTTTCCAGGAAGGGAACTCTGATTTCCAGAGAAAAATGAGAATTTCCAGAGAAATGAAAATGCCAGGCAGGAAACGGGCATCAAGTATGCTGATGTTGCTGCTACCTGGGCAGAAAGGACAGCCCTGGGCAGAAATGGAACTGTTAGGTGCTCTGAGGTCTATAAAGAGATAAAGACATTCTGTGTTTACTGCAGGTCCTGTTGGTGAATCTTTGCAAAGGAACTTTCTTATTGTCGGTAAGTGTCTGGGTTCACCTGGAGACCTACCACCAACTCAACCTTTCTAATGTCATGATGCTCCTGATCTCAGCCAATATTTTGAGGGAGAATTTATGCTACTATCCCCTCCCTTCATGAGGAGCCATGGGCAAAGACCCAGATGCCTCTGAGGCTATCAGTGACAGTGTCTTCTGAGTAACTAAGTCCACAGAGGCTGAGAAAATTTCTTGCTCACATTAAGGTTCAAACTGAAGGCAAAGATACAACTGTTGTCTCTGTATGGTGATTTGAGTAGGTGACTTCATGCATCCCTCATGCTCTCCGGGCATCCTCTCACTTACACCTCCTGACCAGACTGCTTGACCTTGACCCAACTCTGTCCTCTCCTAGGTTGGTGATGAAAAAGATATCCTACCACCAAAACTTCAGGATAACATCTTACATTCACTTGGTCCGGGGATCGATGAGTTAAACAGTAAGTTCTAGGCTCCTCTTTTGGGCTTCTCCAGGGAGCTTGAAGTCATGATTCCTAACCATTCCCTTCTAGAACTACAATGAACTTGTTCAGCAGCCTGGGCCAGAGGCCTAGATCTAAATATGAGATTTTGTTTTTCCTAGGCAATGGCAGAGAATCCATACCCAGGCTCCAGGTTTTAAGTTCTTTTCTTTTCTTCAAGACATAGGTTCACATTGCAGCCCAGGCTGGCCTCAAACTTGTTGCAATCCTCCTGCCTTAGACCCCTCCTAAAAGTTAGGATTACAGGTGTGACCCATCTTCCCAGGCTCAGGCTCCCATTCCAGTCTATTTTCTGAGAGCTTTGGGGTGAAAAGGAAACCATAATTAGAGGTGAATTGGGGTAATTTTGTCCCTGTATTACCTTGAAATGGTGTTCTATGTTTCCCGCAGCTTCAGAACAAATCAACGAGCATGTTTCAGGTCCCTTTGTGCAGTTTTTTGTCAAAACTGTGGGTCACTATGCTTCCTATATCAAACGGGAGGCCAGTGGGCAAGGACACTTCCAAGAACGGTCCTTCTGTAAGGCTCTCACCTCCAAGACCAACCGCCGATTTGTGAAGAAGTTTGTGAAGACGCAGCTCTTCTCCCTGTTCATTCAGGAAGCAGAGAAGAGCAGGAATCCTCCTGCAGGTACAGATAGCCCCCACCATCTCGTTCCAGAGAGGGTCTCTTTTTAGATCAAGAGGTTGGGAGTGTCTCTCTCCAGAGGCCCACAGAACTTGTACCAGTGGGATTGGACGTAGCCTGAAACCCAAGAACCTGCTTCAGGGCTAGCATTTCATAAAAATAGGTCTGCTCACCAGACCTATTGTCTTTTTAAATTCTAGAGCTAATTCTTCTTTATAGGCCTCTTTATGGGCAGAACCGAATACTCTGAGGGCTTTGGGACCCTGGCAGTCTGTGGATGGTAGTGTGGGGTCTTTCTGTTCTTTTGAGGTGGGGTCTCATTGCATAGCCTCACCTTCCTAACTGCTAGGATTACAGACATGTAATTCAACAGAGTAGACCCCAGCCTGCTCAGAGAATTTCTTAGGCTTACTCCTGAGTTCATCAGACTGCCTGAAAAATTCGGTGCCTCTAACAACTGTGTTTGAACCCACAGGCTATTTCCAACAAAAAATACTTGAATATGAAGAACAGAAGAAACAGAAGAAATCAAGGGAAAAGACTGTGAAGTAAAAGCTGTGGTGTGCAGGACTGTCTAGAACTATAGACCAGTTTGGAATTTGGGCCCTGCCAGTACGGCAGGAAGTTCTCAGTGAAGTTCTCAGTCTCTGGAATCCACGGCTTCTTTCTGAGTCCTGGTAACCTGGTCCTACTTCAAACTGGTGTTTGAGTTTGGGATTGTGGGTGTCAGGACCTCTCAGGACTTTGAGGGCTCTTACCCCCAATCTCACAGAACTGTACTCAAAGCTAAATTTTGGCAGAGATGACACAGTGGGAGACAGTAGTACAGGTGTTGTAGGTACTTGGTTCAAGTTTTTGCAACTCCATCTCCTGGGAACTACTGTTATAAAATCCTCAACAGGGAAAGCTGTTGTGGCCCAATGGCCCATGTACAAAATGGTAGTCTGACATGTGAGGATGAGAATAAAGATGACAATCTTGTTTTACGTTTGTCAGTACAGGAAGCAATGCATATGGGAATAAACGGAACAGGGGAGGACCTGGTCTTGGAATAGGGTTCAGCAGCTCCATGTCTAGTAGGAAGGGTAACAGATCTTGGTCAGAGTAGCTATAACATACAGAAACACTGTATGAGTCAGGTGTGCTCTCCAGAATCCTGACAGCAGAGGCTGCTTGGGAGGAGGCAGCTGTAGCATAAGGTAGCTTGAAGGGAGAAATTCTAGCCAACAGTAGCCCCTGAAGACCATTCTGGGGCCTTTATAAACAAACCAGACTGCCCATAGTCCACCTAGTCCTTGACCTTCAGTCTTAGATCCAACCTGAACTACTTATCTGGTAAGTCCAGCTTGATTTTCTAGCTAAAGGTGATCCTTCCATTGACATTTTTTTCCTTTGGGAGGAAAAAAAAAATCTTAAGAGTCCAAAGTATTTAGTGGTCACCTAGGCGCTCCTCTTTCTAGACACCTCCATTAAACAGTTTCTGTATAAACACTGCAAGAGATGGGAAACATTTTTAGAGACATCTTGAATTCTACCTTTAAATTTTATTTTATTTTTTTTAATGTGGCCTTCAGGTTTCCAAACTTGATATAAAGAATACAAGTGATACAGAGGGTGTGATAAGAGGCAGGGGCTGCCAAACTGAAGTTAAAGTGATGCAATCTGATTTGGGGAACCCACATACCTACTGCAGGTAGTATTTGTTCCACTGCCCACATTCCACACCTAACTGCAATTCTTCACAGCTTCTAAGAATCATTACTTTTAGTTTTATAGAAGTATTTGCTAAATCACTTATACCTTGAAAAGTTTCAGATCAAGAACCTTAGAATCCTGTGAAGCTTATGAAAATCCAGATTCTATCCTTTAAGTTGTCTTTAAAGATAGGATCTGGAGCCTGTTGTGGTGTAGCCTGTAAGTCCAGCATTCAGGAGGCTGAGGCAGGAGAACTGAGAGTTCAAACCAGCCTGAGCTACTGTGGGACCTCAATCCAGACTGAAAAATAAAAGCTGGAAATATGTTTTCCAAAAGCAGCACATCTTTGGTTGATTTTGATATTCCACTAGGTAAATGAACACAATAATAAGGGCCAGCTGAGGTTTTCTACAAAGGGACCATTGATCTGATGATGCTTATGACCTAGGGCTGAAGGATGCATACACTAATATACTTGAGTGCTTTCCAGATTCCCTTTATGCTGAAAAAGTTTCCAGAATACATGTATTTATTTCAATTAAGTCTTCAGCACCTTAGTTTATAGCTTTGGTATGATGTAGAAAACATTGGCTAGACTTCAGATCTATACCTACATTCCATTCTGGAGTACAGCAATACTGTTTGATAACTGGTATGCTACTTCTCCTGTCCAGCCTTAGCAATGAACACCCGCTGTGTCTGCTGAAATAACAAAACAACAGATATAATTTACTAAAGGGGGTTATCTGTTCTGTTTTTCTGCTTTGTTCTTGATCTTTTATATCCTTCCCCCCCGCCCCCTCTTTTTCCTGAGAGACTCTCACATATCCCAGGTTGGCCTCAAGCTTACTAGGTCATCAAAGACAACCCTGAACTTCTTGTTCTCTTTCAAGCACTGGGATTCCTGATTTTAAATGAGTCATGGGGTATGTGAGTGCTGGGGATCAAACCAGGGATGCAGGTCACGTTAAAGTAATCACCCCATCAACTGAGCTATATGCTCAGCCCCAAAAGAATATATACAAACTCATTTTGATGCGGGAATTGAAACTGTAACCTTGGGTATGCTAGACAAGTGAGTCATATCTCTAGTCTCTATCTCAAATGGTAAAACTGCTAGCAAACAAAGTCAGACATACTCACCTGCTACAGGTTAGCAATGACATTAAAAGGATAACTGTCATTGTTGATACAGATCTACAATGAAATGATCGTTAAAAGTTTGAGAAAGCATGGTTCTGGCTGTCTGACACGGCATTACAACCACTGTTTATTCCTGATTATAGAATAAGGTATAAATACAATTTAATTGTAAGGTACCTAATTTTGCCCTTAAGCATTTTTGTTGTGATCCTCTTTATATTACAGCAACAGAACATCTGTATGCAATGGAAACAGATGTAATTCACAAAGAACATTTAGCTCCTATTTCAAACTATAGTATCAGTATTGAAAAGGAGAGTGCCAGCAAAGGAGTGACTGCCCCCCACACAGATCCAGGCAAGAACGGAAAATGTGGGGGAAAGATCTCAGCTTCCAAAGACAGATAATGACAAGGGGAATGACTGCCACACAAAGAACCCACAAAAGGGAAAATGAACACAGCTCCACTTTTTAAAGGGTCCAGTAGTTTCTGTAAGATAGGAACGTCACAGGCATATCATGATAACACAGTTGATCGAATTTCCTTATTTATTAAAAATCAGGAATAAATTTTGCTTAAATTGTAAAAAATGACATTTAAGATGTAGTTTATCTTTCCTCTAAATAAAACTGAGAAAAAGGCTGGCTTTTAGATCATATATTTATTTAAAAAAATAAAATGGATTGACAAAGTTACCACATTATTCTGCATGCTAACAGGATTTCCCAAGCCTGTGAGAAACACCATTTCTTGATCAATAATAAAATCACTTCCTCAACAATGTAGAGACATGAAACCTTTCCACCCAAATTTAAAGTCTTTATCACCACTTTCACCTCACAAGCTAGTGGGATGTATCTGTCACAAGCTGAGCTCCTTGTGAAAGAAAGTTTGAGAAGACAAACAAGGATGTTACTAAAAGATGATGATTTGTTAAAACTATAAAGCAACCATCTTTTGGCCTGCAAATATTTTACACCAGAAATCACCACGGCTGGGGATGTGCTCCTCTGACAGTCTTACTCTGAATCCAGGATAATCACAAACACATGGCATTTTTTCCCTGCATGCTTTCTTGGGCCAAACCCTGTTTGACATGTTCCGTTTACAGGATGGGACTTGAAAAATTCCCATTCTCACACAGGATAGTTAGGGAGTGTTACCAATAATGAAGAATGGAAGTTATGTAACATTGATTATTATAAATTATTTGTTCTTATCCACCCCCATTCTCCTTAATATGTTCGGATTCTTTCCTGCAGAAAACAGAGCTTATAGAATACCAGCTACATCATTAGTGATGATTAGAGTGAGCTGTAGAGACCTTGATTCTGAAAACATGTATATGCAGGTGAGATGCAATCTGATTGCAAACACTGACACAGTAGCGAATCAAATCAAAGAAAGAGAAGACCTGAAAAGAGAAGAGATGGCTGATTAGATTCTTAGCACCTGCTCAGGCCTCCCTAAGCTGAAAGGGCAGAAGGATGGCTTCTGTTTTCAAAGCTCTTCAAATTCACCTTCAGCTCCATACAACTGAGTAAATCAATTGCCTCATGGTTGCTTCTTTATGGTAAGGATCAACAAATTCCTCCTTAGAGAGTAAATATTTCAAGCTTTTTATTATTATTTTATTTACTTTTTGATACAAGGACTCACGTAGTCCAGGGTGACCTTAAACTCACTCTAACTCACTCTGTAGCTAAGGATGATCTTCAACTTCTGATCCTCCTGTTTCTACCTCCCAAGTGCTGGGACCACAGGCATGTGTCACCATTCCTGCTCAATTTTTTTAATATGGTGCTAGTGATTGAACACAGGGCCTCATGTACTCAAAGCAAGCACTGTACTACTAAGCTACATCCCCAGTCCATTATTTCCAGCTTTGTGAGCTGTACTGTCTTTCACAATTGCTTAACCTCTGCCACTACAGAATAAAAGCAGGTAAACAGCTTATTATAAGTGGCTGGGCTTATAGTAGACAGACTGTGGACCCCTAGAGTGTACTCAGAATTTCTGTTATACACAATCAGAAATTTGGAATTATTGAGTATTAATACAAGTAGGACTAATAAGAATAACACACATGCAGACCCTAAAACATGAAATCATAAAGAACTTGCAACACATTATAAATGTGGATTTCCTCCATTTCTAGTCATTATTACCATTCTATAGTCTCTTAGGATAGGTTCATTCAAACAAGAAAACAAGTAGCTTACGAATTATGAAACAAGACAAGCATAATACCTACCAAGGCAATCCAAAGAACAATATATTCATCAATGAAGCTGTTAAAATACTGGTCCAGAAACAAAAGCGCTGGACCTATGAATGCTGTGTCATGCAAATGCATTTCACTTTTTGTCATGTGTGCAACCTAAGAGTAGAATAAAAACCAATGATATATAGAAATTTTCATATTAGAACAACTGTTAGCAATTTAGTAAATCAGTATTAAGCTCACATAGGAAGTTTCAAGACTGATTTAGCAATAGTTGGCTCTGTACAACTAAAAAACCCAGAACAAAGTTGTGTGAGAAAGGGAAGAGATCGTGTCAACTAAGCCCATGAAAAATGTTCACGGGTGTATTCAGTGTGAGTGTTCAGGCTGAGACTGAAGAGTGCAGTAAAACCAACCAACCAAATTAAACAGAGGACAGAATGATAGAAAGCTGAAAGAACTTCAGGCAAACTCAAATTGTAGTTTCAAGGGAATAAAAATAGCTCTTATGTTGATGTGAAGAGATTTTTATAGCAAACTCTTGGATTACTTAGGAAGCCACAGAATGAAAATCACATTCAAAAACCAAAATAAGATGAACATTTAAAACAAAACAGGTAAAAACTGAGGTGCTTACCACAAGCTTATTAGTGATTTTAGCTGACACAAAACCAAATGTCAGTATATAAAGACATGGATGCTTTTCAAAAAGCTGAACTGCTGACTTCTTGTAGATCATAACAGCTAATGTGATCACTGATCCAATGTGGAGAAAAGGAGAAAGGACACTTGTTCCCTGCACAGAGCCAAGAATTAACAGTATTTAATACTTGTCAGATACTACATGGATCTACCATAAAATACTTCAACCCAAACTTCCTAGATCCTCACAGTGGCTGTCAGCTAACTATAAGCTGAGCACCAGACTAGTTAATGAAAAGCAGCTACATGAATTGGTAATGCACAAATAGGACTGTACTTGGCAGATGAGGCTTATTTTTACACAGTGGATCATACTCTCTAAAATGTACTGTGTGTAGTATGTATACACAAAACGTGCATTTACCAGCATATAAAAGTAGGTATGAATATATACTTTTAAGGAAATTCTAAATTAACAAATGCTTTTATACTTTTTAAATGAAAAACACAGTAACTACAAAAACAAATCCTAACCTGCAAGTCACTGGCAATCTTAAGGCATACTCACTGCTATCGTTGACCCATTTTTGCCAACACCACCTGTGAAGATTACACGGAAGTAATTTGTACAGGAAAATATGGTCCCTGCCACAGTACAAAGTGCAGGAAAAATTTTCATTTGAATATTCAGCACTGGAATCTTTAATGGGTAGAAGGAAAGAACAATTAAAATATATACAAACTCAAGTAAAAAAACATATAGCCAAATATTTATGCATACTCCCAAATACTCTTCATTCCTTCCAACTTGGTCAATACTTCATGTAATGAAAATTTCCTTCTCCTCTTTATTATGAGCAATATAACACATTTCAAAAGATGAGATTGACTTCTGACATCAATGTTAGAAAAAAAATCCAGCTATGTTAATTTGCATAAGCTGAGTAAAACTCCATTGCTGTATCTGAGAGGTCTGGCAACAGTGAACTAGGCTGTCTTGTGACTTTTTCATAGAGGGCATGCCTTGGCATTTCTTTGTGTGCTTTCTGAATTCTACCTCTAAACCTGTAGTACACTTCTAGTTACTGTTAGACAGTATAGAGCATAAAGAATAGAAATATTTACAAATTAGATTTTGAAATCTGCAAAGTACAGAATGGAAGAGAAAAGTTCTATTCAGACGAGTTCCCAACTCTGAGCTGTTCGGGTACAAGCAGCTAGTAATAGTCAAAGGGAACTGAAATGGCATTCATATTCAGGAAAAACAGTCATGTACATTCAAACTTGCATAGCTCTACAGTTGTATTCCCCAAATTTTAATAGTATAAGTTTACGTCTCAGTAAATAATACATTGCTAATGCGACTGTATACTTAAAAGATGATTTACCTAAAGTAAGGTGAAGGGTGGGATTGAGTGGATTGAGACTAAGCATTTAACCTTGTAAGCACAGCTTCCCCCTCATTTAAAATGAAAGACACTTGTACTAAATTTGTAAAAAAAAAAATTATTATTTTTGTTTTATGTGTACGAATGTATTGCCTGCATGTATGTTAAGTGCACCCGTGTCATGCAAAGACTGTGGAGTCCAGAAGAGGGCTTCGGATCCCCTGGAACTAGAGTTACAGACAGTTGTTAGCTGTCATGAGGGTGCTGGGACTCAAACCTGGGTCTTCTGGAAGAACAGCAAGTGTTCTTAACCATTGAGCTGACACTTGTACTAAATTTTTAAGTCACAGAGAAGTTTCTTTTACTTTTTTCATCCCTTCCTTTGCTCTTCTGGTTTCAAACTTTGTTCAAAGTAAGATGGATTAGGATATATTTAAGTAATTATAAGAACAAGATCACAAGATAGGTAATGAGGCCTTACAATGAAAACATTTTAAATAGAGCTTTTTACACTATTCAGGACTGCTATTTTCCTACACTTTTAAATCAAACAGGATATAAGACATCACTTTGTAATATAAACACCAGTGAAACTGGCAAAAATAATCTTAATGTTTGGATACTACATTTCTTCAAAACTCTCAAGAACTCCCTTTGTTTACACAACTCTATGACCTCTTGCAAAACGGCAGCTCTCAAAAAAAAATGGAAATCAACTGTTCAGATGTGAAGTTGTACTACAGCAGTGTTTAATTTTCTAAAATAAAATAGGTCAAGTTAAAATTCAGCCCCAAACTTGGTACAACACCATAAACTGTCATTCTCCTTGCCTAACATAGCCTACAGTCCCAGTTCAAAGCCTGTTTTAAAGAGAAGGGAAAATAAACACCATGGTTACTTGAGTCTCCTGGAGATTTTTGTGCTCTAGTTCAGAAAACTAGGGACATTACAATCTACATCTGATGCACCTGGTTGGTCTCTTTTGCTACTTTCTGGTCTCCTGCAATCCTCCCACTTTCCCTCCACAGACACAAAGGAACTTTCTGGCAAAGGTAGAAAGATGACACTTGCCTAACAGAGTATTATTCCATTACAGGGGACCCCATATTAGGATCAGGGTCCCAGATGAGTACCCTGAATGAGTTGATCAAGTTAACAGCCAACTGTGTCACAACTGAACTGACTGAGCTTCATAACTGTATTTATAATTTGGGGAAACTGCTTTAGGATCATGGAAGTTGTTGGCCTTTGAAAGAAAGAATACACACAAACATTAGAAAAGCCAGGTAACTTGATACACTTAGGCTTGAATTATAAAGTGAGCAAGCAAATTAAGACCTTGGAGCAAAGTAGACATTTTAGGGCTCTCATCATTTCTGTCATGCTAATTAGATACATCCAAATGCAAGTTCCTAAACACAGGGTTTAGTTTGAATTAATTTTGAAAATTACAGCTGTGTGTGTATGTATGTATGTGTGTGTGTGTGTGTGTGTGTGTGTCTGTGCTCGCGCATGCACGCACGCCACGTAGGGCAGCAGCATGTCACAGAGCATGCCAATGGGGCTCAGAGGAAAACTTTCGGGAGTTGTTCTCTCCTTCCACCATGTGGGTCTCAGAGATTGAATTCAGGTCATCAGACTTTGGTGGCAATTGCTTTCACCAGTTGTGCCATCTCAGCTCCTGAATTGGTTTTTGTAGTCTCTTTAGGGTCCTGGTTATTGTAGGTTATCAGTTTATATTTGCTGAATGAAGATGCAGATCTTGTCCCTTTCACTGTGTATGTCAACCTCCTATTTTGTGAGACTACGAAGAACTATCCAACTTCTACCTTGAAAAGGTAATGAGCAACAAAGTGTGAT